ATTTTAAACCATTCAGTGTTCTCATGTTCTGTTCAAATAACTGAAGATGTAGAAATGAATGATGGTGATGGTTGCGTATCTTGGTGGATAAAATTTATGTCACTGGATTTTGCATATAAAATGACTGAACTGCCAAATGTTATTTCACACACACACACACACACACACACACACACACAATTGTGAAATCCAGTCTCAGCTCACTGTAGCTGCTATTTTCATTAGGTGCTATGGAGTTGGTTTCGGTCCACAGCGACCCTCTGTACAACAGAACAAAACACCTCCCAGTCCTGTGCCCGCCTCACAATTGCTGCTATGCTTGAGCCCACTGCTGCTGCCACTGTGTCAGTCCATCTCTTTAGGGGGGTCTCCCTCTTTTTCGCTGACCCTCCACTTTTCCAAGGATGATGTCCTTCTCCAGGTACTGGCCCCTCCTGATATCATGCCCGAAGTCTGAGAGATGAAGTCTGGCCATACTAGCTTCCAAGGAGCATTCAGACTGTACAGCTTCCAACACAGATTGGTTTGTTCTTTGGGCACAGAATGTCCTAAACCCATCCATAAGGTCATAGACTGTCCAAAAGTCATATTTAGCTCATAGGCCAGAGTTCGTTGACACTCATGTACTATATAATTAATGGGGAAAGTTATGAAAGGAGAGAGAGAGAGAGAGAGAGAGCGCTCTGGTAGTGTCGTGGTTACGAGTCAGGCTGCTAACCTTAAGGTCAGCAGTTCGAAACTACCAGCTGTTCCACTGGAGAAAAACAAGGCTTTCTGCTCTCATAAAGATTTACAGCCTTGAAAACCCTATAAAGGGTCAGTATGAGTTGGAACAATATATACATATTGTTGTTGTCAAATGCCGTTGAGTTGGTTTCCAACTCATAGTGACCCTGTATAGGTTTTCCGAGGAGTGGCTGGTGAGCTTGAACCACCGCCATTGTGGTTCAAACTGACCATGCAGTCCAGTGCATTAACCCACAGCGCCACCCCAGGACACACACACACACATACACACACTCTATGTATGTGTGTATAAATAAATATAAATATATACACACACATATATCATTGTTAAGTGCCATTGAGTCGATTTCGACCCATAACAACCCTATATAGAGTTTCCAAGGAGCAGCTGGTGAGCTTGAACCACTGACCTTGCAGTTCAAATGACTTTGCAGTCTGACGTATTAGCCCACAGAGCCACACCAGGACTCCATATAGATATCTCAAAGACTGCAGTATTTCAGAAAAGTGGCAGTTTTACTAGGTGACCTTAAATTTGTATTCTACATACTAACAGATGTTTTACTATCAGCATTTATTTGTAACATTTCTAACGTTTTAAAAAGATATGCCAACTAGGGACAAGGCTCAATTATGGAGTATTTTAGAAACTCGAAACCATCCAGGTAAGCTGGCGGATCGGGTAGGAAAGTGAGGCGGCACAGGAGGCACTCACTCATCTCTGCCAAGAAATTTGGAAGACAACTGTCTGGCCGACTGATTGGAAGAGATCCATGTTTATGCCCATTCCAAAGAGAGGTGACCCAACAGAATGAGGAAATCATCGGACAATCTCTTTGATATCTCAAGCGAGTAAAGTTTTGCTCAAGGTAATACAGAAACGGCTACAATCATACATTGACAGAGAACTTCCAGAGGTTCAAGCTGGATTCAGAAGAGGCCGTGGAACGAGAGATATCATTGCTGATGTCCGATGATGATGTCCGATGCTGAAAGCAGAGAATACCAGAAGGATGTTTACCTATGCTTTATTGACTACGCAAAGGCTTTCGATTGTGTGGATCATGACAAGCTATGGACAACATTGAGAAGTATGAGTATTCCAGAATGAGTATTCTGGACCAAGAAGCAGTTGTTTGAACAGAGCATGGGAACACTGAATGTTTTAAAATTGGGAAAGGTGTGAGACAGGGTTGTATTCTTTCACCATACTTATTCAACTTGTATGCTGAGCAAATAATACGAGAAGCTGGGTTCTATGAAGAAAAATGTGGCGTCAGGATCGGAGGAAGATTCATTAACAACTTGCGATATGCAGATGATACAACCTTGCTTGCTGAAAGTGAAGAGGACTTAAAACATTTACTGATCAAGATCAAAGAGCACAGCCTTCGATATGGATTACATCTCAATGTCAAGAAAACAAAAATCCTCACCACTGGACCAATAAACAACATTCTTCTCAATGGAGAAAAGATTGAAGTTGTCAAGGACTTCATTCTTCTTGGATCAACTATCAACACTCGCGGAAGTAGCAGTCAAGAGATCAGACGACATATTGCACTGGGCTAATCTGGTGCACAGGAACTTTTTAAAGTATTGAAGAGCAGAGATGTCAGCTTGAGGACTTAGGTGTGCCTGACCCAGGTCATGGTATTTCCAATAACCTCACATAGATGCGAAAGCTGGACAGTGAATAAGGAAGATCGTAGAAGAATTGATGCCTTTGAGTTATGGTGTTGGAGGAGAATACTGAAAGTGCCATGGACTGCTAAAAGAACCAATAGATCTGTTTTGGAAGAAGTGCAGCCAGAGTGTTCCTTGGAGGCCAGGATGGCTAAGCTTCGTCTCTCTTGCTTTGGACATATTGTCAGGAGGGAACAGTCGTTGGAGAAGGATGTCATGCTGGGTAAGGTGGAGGGTCAGAGAAAGAGAGGAAGACCCCCAACGAGATGGATCGGCCAGGTGGCATCATTGAAGGACTCAAGTGTGGCAGCGGTAGTGAGGTTGGCCCCGGATCGAACATTGTTTCGTTCTGCTGTGCATGGGGTCGCTATGAGTCGGTTCCGACTTGATGGCACTTGACAACAACAACAACAAACCGCCCAGACAATTTTTTCCTTCCCTAATCGTAGTGGTGGTAGCGTAGTGGTTACGAATTGGTCTGCGAACCTCAGGGTCAGCAGTTTGAAACTACCAGCTGTTCCGCAGGAGACAGATGAGGCTTTCTGCTCCCGTAAAGATTTACAGCCTCAGAAACCCTGTACAGAGTCGCTATGAGTGGGAACCGACTCCACGGCACATAACAACAACAACAACAACCCTAGTGGTGCGGTTGGCCCAGGATCGGGCAGTGTTTCTTTCTGCTGTGCATAAGTACTCAACAACAATCTCATATCTTTCCCTGAACTTACCAACAAGGTGTCTCCCACTTCTCCATAAAGTAAAGGTCCCAGGATTCCCGATTCATACTGACTAGCTTCTCGAGTCTGAAAGGTATCATTGGTGAATGCACAGAATCGGGCTTTTTTGTACTTTCTACCAATGCGCTGAGTGCCATTGCTTAAATATTGACTTTGATAGCTTCTGTAGGAGAGAGAAAAAGATGAGCGTTTGGGATGGAAAATTCTAGGTAAAAGACAGGTAGCTTAAATTCAACTTGAACAGTTGATATGATTTCATAAGTGAAAAAAGTGAGTGAAAAACACGGCACACCTTGATGCTGACTTACGTTAGGTTCCAAACATGTCAACTGTCCCTGCCATTTGATTCTATATGCAAATGATGCAAAAGATTTGTTTTGAAAATGTGGGAAGAACTCTTTGAGAGACACACTGCTTACCTGTCAGTGGAGGGAAGAACTGAAGGGGCATAGTCCCAGTCCTCTTCCACAGCAGCAATATAATGGATCCAAGTTTTCGGGTGCCTCTTGGCAACAGAGCGAATTTGCATAAAGGGAGGAGCAGCGTCCTCACCATCATCCAACCTGAGCACATCCATGTCAGAGTCAGAAAGGTCATCGTCATAATCGTCCTCCTCATCTTTGTCAGTTTTCTTCCGTACTTGGGGTTCCTCTGGGCAGCTATCTACCGTGATATAAGCTTCCATGCCATCTGGATTCAGAAAACCCAAGAATGTCAGATTGCTACAAGATTTGCTTGCTCTCTGGAGACGACTTGAAGGCTCTCTCTTAAGACTTTAAGACTCCCCTTTTTGCCATTCTTCTACATGGATCATTGCCCACATATCTGGTAGTAGTCGGCCTGATTCCTCTCCAACAGATGTGTCCCTGCTTTTTCAAAACTCACTCGTTTTCTGTTGGCATACATGTAAGAATTTCCCTTTTGGAACTGGCTCTGATCCTGTTACTCCCTCACATCCACATTGTAAACAAGGAGACTTGAGGAATGCATATTTTCAGCATTTGGAAGCCAAGGTCAGGCCAAGGTAATCACAAGTTCTCATCCTTTACAAAATGTGGATGATAATTGCTCATCTCTGCCCTATCTCTCCCATAGAACTGTTTTGAAGATCAAGTACTCCTAAGAAGGGAAATTCCTTTACATTCAGGAGCATCAAACAACAACTAGGCTTTAGACATAATTTGGTCTGGATCTAAACACGAAGGGCTTTGCTCACAATCCATGAAGACAAGAGCCATTTACTGCGCAGTGAGGAGTAAGGTAGCGTGAGAGAAGTGGTCAAATGTACAAAACAAAACACAAACTTCTCTGAAATGGAAGTCAGGCTCGAAGTAGATTTGTTAATGAACTGCACGTGAGTAGATGACCTAGCAGGCTTTGTTTGCACCCAGCTCTTCAATTTTATCTGTTTCCTGTTACTCACCATGTATAACACACTGTCCCCGGAACACCTTGTCAAAACTCCCACAAACGTTACATAGCAGATGGGAAGAGGAGATGCCAAGCTTAATGACTACAAGGAACTATAAGTAAAATTACTCCTAGATTATAAAGGGAAGATAGTGGGCGTATGAAATGATCAAATCTCTTCTAAGAGAACCAGGGAACCTGAAGAGAGTATTCATATAAGAGCAATCAGAACAAATGAGTGCGTTTAAACATGAAAGGTTAGATCTCCCCAACACTGTTCTCCAACAGCCCTCAAGGACCACTATAGATGAGTGGAGAAAGGGGCTTGTCAAATTGAATGAGAGTAAATACATCAGAAGGAAAGTGCGGTGAAATGATCATACAGCCTGATTGTTCACAGCCTGTAACTACAAATGAGGTCACATTCACAGTAATGGCAAGCTGTAGCTACCATCATCCCAATGTCGTTACATAGGGAGTTTACCACTTTGCAAAATCTCCATTGAGTAGTCTTTGAAAACCTCATGCGGTGCCTCACATATGCTCACCCATGTCCACTGCCATGGTGCTTCCCCAGCACATGCTGTGTCCTGACAGACAGGCCCTCAGTTTCCCCAGGTTGTCTCCCACCCCTACCAGGTATCTACACAGCGCCGCCGGCTTGTACACAGATGTCTGGTGCATGAAACTGAGCCCTGTAATAACCTCTAGTTCTTTTTCTGGTATTTTACTGCTCTGGGCATTACTACAGAGACCTCAAAGCCCTTATGGTTGAAAGCTAACAGTGCTGTTTTGTTTTGTTTTTCCCATTTCCTTAAATTTCTCATAAGACTTTTTTTTAAAGCTGCTATCTGCATTTCTTTGATATTGGAGTCTAATTGATATCTGGGAAACTAAAGACACACTGTCTTCCTCATTTTCCCCACCTTACTCATGCCCACGGTTCTTTCCTTCCATTTAGCACAGTCACTGAACAACAAATTCAACAGGTGCCCTGATATTCCAACTTTTCATACTCAAGAATTAATCTTCACCCTGGAAACTTGAGACCAGGGAATCTTAGTTGAGGTCTGAAATAATTCTGACTCTATAGTGCCACTTTATTCAACACACGTATTGCATTGGGCAAATCTGCGGCACCAGACCTCTCTAAAGTGTTCAAGAGCAAAGACATCAGTTTGAGGAGGACTAAGATATGCCTGACCCAAGCCATGGTATTTTCAATAACCTCATATGCATGCTAAAATTGGGCAATGGATAAGGAAGACCATAGAAAAATTGATGCATCTGAGCTATGGTGTTGAAGAAAAAATATTAAAAGTACCATGGGCTGCCAAAAGAGCAAACAAAACTATACTGGAAGAAGTGTATACAGAATGCTCCTTAGTAAGCTGGTGAGATTTCATCTCTTATACTGTGGCCACGTTCTCAGGAGGGACCAGTCCTTAAGAGAAGGACATTATATCTGTAGAGTAGAGGATGGTGAAAAGAGGAAGCGCCTCAGTGCGCTGAACTGACGTAGTGGCTGTAACAGTGGGCTCAATCAGAGCAACAATTGTGAGGACTGCGCAGGGTTTCATTCTGGTGTATATATGAGCACAACCAGTCAGAACCCAGTTGGTGGTACCTGACAAGCTAACACTATATTCCTGGAAATTCCACTGAAAGTAGAGCCATCAATAGTCTATTACCATGTTGGTGGGAAGGGATATGACAAAACATTCGAAACTGGCCAAGGTCCATCAGCTGTGTCTGAGCAGTCAGGAAAGTTATTGGTGAGATCTCCAGTGAGGCCTGACGATGGTGCCTCACAAGAAATGTATGGCCTTCGAGGTAGATGGAGTGTACTTCAGGGCTGGTGCCCATTCCAATCACATGCCAATACACCGACTTTTTGTGACAGCCAATCAGACCTGCACATTAAAAATAAGACAGCCGTGATGAAAATGCAGAGAATTTGGGACAGAAATCACTTGCTAGTGCAAGATGAACCAATTGACCTTACACATTTGGATGTTAGATTTGTTTAGACCCTAACTTTACAAGGACATTGCCCATCATCACCTGCAGCTGTTAGCTGTTTAGGCTTGTAACTCTGTTTCAGACTTCTCCTCAGATTCCAGACTAATACAACCAATCACATTCTCATGTGGGTTTAATGAACTACTCAGGAGGGACCAGTCCTTAAGAGAAGGACATTATATCTGTAGAGTAGAGGATGGTGAGTAGTTCGCCACCTGAGTAGTTCATTAAACCCACATGGCCCACACCAAGTAGGTTGCAGTCATCCCTTCATCCTTGTCCAGAGTTCCTTACCTCCCACAACTCTCTACTACTCACAGTTAGGGGGTTGATTAGGGAAATTAACAGGTTACAATACAGGATCAGAAGATGCTTAGGGCACAGTTGTTCCAGTCAGTTGCTGATACATGCCCACAGGACACGTGACTCCACCAGCTCTAGCTCCGTGGGTCAGCAAAGTTAGCTCCCCCACTGAAGTACCTAGAGGCACCCCACTCTACAAGCAAGCTTCCTGCGCTGGCATGGGCTGGGACCCCCCACTGCTCTACCTTGTGCTCTGGGGTCACAGCTTTCTGTTCCTGGGTCAAGAAGGTTCAGTGCACAGGGATCTCGGGGCCCAAAAGACATGCTCCATTCCTGGTTCTGCTTCTTTGATGATAGTGAAATACCTGCTCCTACTTCTGAAATGGTTCATTTCATACCCGTGGGAGAGTTTCCAAGTTTTCACAATTACAGTGAACTCTGCTAACCTCCACAGCTGAATCATGTCAGCCTATCAGTATCTTCTCCCACCTTCTCTTACTCAGCCCAGCATACAGAAACACAGGCTATGGCTAGAAGAGACATTCGCTAGTTCACCACACCACAGGCACCAATAATGTCACCTCCCCGTTTGTTGTTGTTAGGTGCCATCGAGTTGGTTCTGACTCATAGCAAACAAATGAAACTCTGCCCCGTCCTGCGCCGTCCTCACAATCGTTGCTGTATTGGAGATCCATCGCTGCTGCCCCTGTGCCAGTCCATCTCATTGGGGCTCTTCTTCTTTTTCACTCACCCTCAACTTCACCATGCGTGATGTCCTTCTCCAGGGACTGGTCCCTCCTGATAACATGCCCAAAGTCGGAGAGACGAAGTCTGGCCATCCTGACTTCTAAGAAGCATTCTGGCTGCACTTGTTTCAACACAGATCTGTTTCTTTTTCTGGCAGCCAATAGTACTGTCAATATTCTTCTCCAACACCATAGTGTTTGCTCCATTATACCGTAGTCTAAATCTCAGTTCTTTGTAGGGGGCTTGTTCCTCCAAGCAGATGCTTTCAGTACTTCATCTTTATTCTTTGTTCTCTGAAATTTCATTCTGGGGGGGGTAAGTTTTATTCAGCCTTTCAGTTCTTTATATGAACACTCATCAGTGCATTTTGAACATTTTCTTCTTTAATTTCTCTGATTCTTTTTTAAAACCTGTTTAACAAGATATTCTCTTTTCTCTTCCTTTTCATTTCTCAGAGGTTGTCTCTATTCCATATACTACATTCTACTGAGTTTGTAATCTGACTGTCATATTTGTAAGATTTATAGCACGTTCTTTTTCCTAAAGGCTTGTTATTGGCTTAGGGTTGCAGTATCTTCTTGAACAAGAAAAATAGAGCTTTTGATTAACTCTCTTTCTTCAAAGATTTTTTTCCCCTTTATTTTTCATATGTGGGTAATGTTTCAGATTTTCCTTAAATGTCTTGGTTGTCCACTCATATTTAGACAAAAGGCCAGAAAACTCTGATTGTGAGCTCTAGGTATATTTTCAGGTGACTGGAGGGGGAACCAGCCTCTGTAAGACTCGCAAGAGGCCAGGATTCCATGAATGTTGCTTTTGGATGACCCTGAGGTTTCTTGAGTAGGTGTGTACATACCTGGCAGAGATCTGTTTACATAGCCGTTAACTGTATACATTTTAGGCCAGGACGCAGTAGAAGAATCATCCAGACCCTGTGCCAAGGATTCATCTGCTCCTGAGTGCCAACTCTTCCCTGACGAGAGAGGAGGTGGAGAGAGCAAGGTAAGCATCTGTCTCCTGACTGACTGACCTGCCCTTTGCCCTTTTCACCCTCCTGTCAGGGGTGGAAGACAACAATCACTAAAAGGCAGACTTTTTTTTTTCAAATCGATTCCTCCTTCCTGTATTTAACCATGAGGAACCCTTGTGGCATAGTGGTTAAAGCAATCAGCAATTAACTGAAAGGGCAACAGTTCAAACCCACCAGCCTCTCTACGGGAGAAAGACGTGGCAGTCTGCTTCTATAAAAATTTACCCTCTCGGAAGCACTATGACTCCTAATTGACTTGATGACAACAACTTTGCTTTATATTTGTTCATGACAGTTGGTGGGAAGGAGTAATGATAACACATAACTTCTTGTTGTTAAGTGCCATCAACTCGGTTCCGACTCATAGCAACCCTGTATATGATTTCCAAGGAGCAGCTGGGGAATTTGAGCCGCTGACCTTGAGGACAAGTGTTTAGCCAACGGGGCTACACCAGGACTCACATGCTAAGCAGGATAAGGACTCTTATTACTGATCTATCTCAAAGGAAGCAGGCAAACAATTCATCCCAGGGACCTGAAAGTTTCCCAACCTCCACTATGGAATTCAGAAGAGCTAAAGAACTGGAGTCCTGCTGTGATAAGCACTGGACTGTAAGATCAGTTTGAATGGCAAGGTCCGCGGTTCAAACTCACCAGTCGCTCCTTGGAAACCCTATACAGGGTCGCTATGAGTTGGAACCGACTCAATGGCAATGTAACAATACAACAACAGTGTCTAATAAGATACTAATCTTTATGTGTTCCATTTCATTTTTTATCATTTCCAATATTCCTAGAGCCATACTTCTTATGTTCTGATTATTAATGGATGCTTTCACCTGTTTCTTCTCATTTTGAGTTGTGCCCCATCAACAAATTAAGGTTCCAGAAAGGTTTGCTCCAATCGGGGCATCATGGTCAACTCTATTTGGAAGAGGCAGCTCTTCCCCCGTTGTATTTTGAATGCCTTCCGACCTGAGGGGCTCAGACAACATCCCACTACTGTCTGTAAGGTTTTCAGGCTAATTCCCCAGAAGTGGACCACCTCACTCTTCTTCCTAGTCTGTTCTTTGGAAGCCCCACCACCACGGATGCATTTGAAACACCAGCATCACAGAAAGTCAGAAGCTCCCATAGTACTGGGTATCATCCTGGGGGAGGGAATGGCTTACCAAGAAGAAGGAACAGCATAAGCAAAGTCTTAAAGACTGGAGTGTTATGCTCCCTTCTAGCTTCTATAGTAACAATGGAGCGTCAAGAACAAGCCCAAATATACAGGAGAGAGCTAATGGGTCCCTGAAGGAAAAAGACAGCAGTGTCAGACGGTAAGATTGGAGACCAGAAGGTCATGGTGTTGTGCTGTTGGGGACAGTGGTGGTGATACTGGGCGGAAGCACATTCCGATGAAAAAGATGCTGGAATTACCTCAATTGTACATTTGAGAACCCTGAGGCACAACTAGGTTAGTAACTTGTCCAAGGTTGCACACTTAGTAAGAGATAAGCGAAGCTATTTCCAAAGTAGGAGCCAAAAGGTTTTACTGAGGAATTAATGAGGGGGATGAGCCCATCCCTCCTTATCTTCTGTTCTCATAACTGCCAGGGGAACTTAGGTTGCATTTTTTCCTTGGAATTCATTTCTCTCGCCATCTCCTTCATTTCTGAGCAGTAATGTAATCTATGATCTCTCTATAATCACCTCTTCTGGACGGTAACATCATACAATCACAAGTACTGTTGTTGTTGTTGTTGTTGTTGTTGTTGTTGTTGTTAAGTGTCATCGAGTCGGTTCCGACCCATAGCGACCCTGTACAGGGTTTCCGAGGGTGCAAATCCTTACGGGAGTAGAAAGCCTCATCTTTCTCCCGCGGAGCAGCTGGTAGTTTCGAACCGCTGACCTTAAGGTTCGCAGCCCGATTCGTAACCACTACGCTGTTAATTTTGTTTTCACGACCCCAAAATTTAAATAGATGTTCACTAACCTTCATCAAATACAGCAAAAAGTAGTACAAATTCATGCAAGTTCTGTGGACTTTCTTTGGCCAGACTCCCTGAAAAAGAAGTGAAAGGATTTATCTTCTACTCAAAAATCCTATTATAAGAAATTGCCACTAGGTGGAGACATTACTCCATCAATTACTTGAGAATCTGGTGCCCAGGTGGTGGTGGTGGTGGCGGTGGTGAGTGCGGTCGGTCAAGTTGGTCCTGACTCATCACGACCCTGTATAGCGTTTCCGACCAGCGGCTGGTGACCTTGGAACTGCAGACCTCTTGCAGTTCAAACCACCCTTGAGGCTGAGTGCTTATCCTATGGTGCCACACCTGGCGCCCTGGTTGGTGTGAGCGTCGCTCTGGTAGCATTGTGGATTATGGGCTGCGCTGCCAACTTCGAGGTCAGAAGTTTGAATCCACCACCTACTCCGCAGGAGAAAGATGAGACTTTCTGCTCCGGTAAAGATTTACGGTCTTGGAAACGCTATACGAGGTCACTATGAGTCAGAACTGACTCCCCAGCTCACAACCAAGATCAACATCTTTTCTTGGGTGAGGACCAAAAGGAGAGTCTTCTATATGAGTGTTTATAAAACTGGAGTAAAAGACCATTTATTTCTTCCAAATCTGTAGCAGACCAACACATTTGTTAAATACAACCAAAATAAATGACTAGAAATAAGAAATTAAGAAGACATGCGAAATATAAGCCAATAAAATCACATTTCGTGTATGTGTATACAAGACATATTGTAAATGAGAAAGTCATAAAGCCCTTTTTTGACCCAAACTGCGTGATTACATTTAACTCTTAACATTCTTGCTGGATTTGACTGTTTTATTCTCCCCACCGTGATCTTCCTGCCTGGGAAGCTCTCGTTACCTGATTTTGTTCATTGTTACGTGCTCTCGATTGGGTTCCAACTCATAGCCACCCGGTAGAGGATTTCTGAGGAGCCACTGGTGGGTTTAAACTGACGACCTTGTGGCTGGCGGTCCAGTGCCACATTAGAAGCCCTACAGCGCCACATTAGAAACCATAACATGAAGGGTATTTTCCTTCTCCAATTCATTCAGGACGTGAAGTGCACTCCAAGGAAAGGAATCTTTCATAGAAAGTGGGCCAGAGGACTGTTTCTTCATGACAAAGATGTAATAAAAGAAAATTACTTGGCCTTATCTGAAGCTTCCCACATCAGATAGTAGATGTTTCAGAGAAATGAGACCGTGGTACCAAGCGGAATCTTCACATACTCCTGCGATATCTGGCTAAAGCTGTGTCAAATTTATCAGTGATGTTTCATGATCCCAATGATTGAAAAGCCCTGTAATTAGTTCCTGAAACCAATTACTGGAACTCTTTGTATCCAATCAGCCAATAAAAACCTGTTCCCCACCTGTAGCCCATCCTATTGTGATCGCAACCAAACTAACCAAATTATCATTTATGTGCTTTATGAATTATAACTATCTGTGTAACAAAAGTTTAGCTAGAGTCATTAGTCTTCATTCATGCATCTGGATGAAATAGCTTTTCCTTTTTTCACTGATTGTTAAGTGCAGGTTCCAACTTGAAGCAACCCTGTATAGGGTTTCTGAGGAGTGGCTGGTAGGTTTAAATTGATCTTGCAGTCCAGTGTTTATCCTTCAGTGCCACACCAGGACTCTTTGTGGTTAAGTGTCATCGACTTGCTTCTGATCCATAGCGACCCTGCATAGGGTTTCAGAGGAGCAGCTGGTAGGTTTGAACTGCTGACCTTGTGGGTCACAGTCCAGTGCTGATCCTACAGCACCTCTTAAATTCAATTTTCACAGGCTGAGAGGATTCTTCTGTGAACCAATGTGTGTGTTTCCATTCTCTCCATGTTATGTTTCATTGTTGTTGTTGTTCTTAAGTGCCATTGAGTCATTTCCAACCAATAGCAACCCTGTAAGGTCACTTGAACTGCAAACGGTACCAACTCAAATGCACTTGACAACATTTGTCTGTATACATTTCAATGCAGGAAGCATCAAAAAAAAGAATGGAAGAAATACGGCAATGTACCAAAAAAAATTAGTTGACATTCAAACATTTCTGGAGATACCATATGATCAAGAACCAATGGTATTGAATGAAAAAGTCTAAGCTGAATAAAAAGCATTGTAAAAAAAAAAAACAAAAAAAAAAAACACAAGACTTCAGGAACTGACAGAATACAAATTGAAAAGTTTAAACAAATGGATGCAATGCTGGAGGCGCTCACTCATGTATGCCAAGAGATGTGGAAAACAAGTTACTGGCCAACCGATTGGAAGAGATCCATATTTGTATATGCATTCTAAAGAAAGGTGATCCAACAAAATGCAAACATTATCGAATTAATATCACACTGAAGTGAAATTTTCCTGAATATAATTTTTAAATGTTTACAAAAATTAATTAAAACATTAAATTAAAAATGTTTATGCCAATAGGTCATTGCTAGAAATTCACGTTAAATTCAGAAGACGACATGGAACAATATCAGATCTTGGCTGAAAGCATAGAATTCCAAAAGATGTGTTCCTGCGTTTAACTGTCTACGCAAAGGCATTTGGCTGTGTTAGTGTTGTTGTTAAGCACTGCCAAGTCAATTACAACCAATAGCGACCCTGTATAGCGTTTCCGAGGAGTGGCTGGTGAACTTGAACCACCAATCTTGCGGTTCAAAGCAACTTTGCAGGTTAGCGTATTAACTTACAGCGCCACACCAGGACTCCATTATAACAAATTACGGATAATATTGTGAAGAATGGGAATCCCAGAACACGTCATTGTGCATAGAGCAAGAAGATACGGAATGATTCAAACGCAGGCAAGGCGTGTGTCAGGATTGCATCTTTACACCATACTTATTCAGTCTGCATGTTGAGCAAATAATCAGAGACTCTGGACTATATGCTACTGCTCTGGAGTCTCCTCTTCCTCCCACTCAGAACCCTGCACTTTTCATCACAATAATTATTTAAATGGAATCAAGTTTTTTGAAGCTGGCTGTTTTCACTCAGTATGTTGTTGTTGTTAGGTGCCATCGTGTGGGTACCAACTCATCGCATCCCTGTGCACAACAGAATGAAACACTGCCCGGTCCTGGGCCAACCTCACAATTGTTGCTTTTCCTGAGCCCATCCCTGCCACCACTCTGCCAATCCATCTCATTGGGGTTCTTCCTCTTTTTCTCTGAGCCTCCACTTTACCAAATGTGATATCCCTCTCCAGTGACTGGTCCCTTCTGATAATATGTCTGAAGTATGAGAGACAAAGTTTGGCCATCCTGGCTTCCAAGGAGCACTCTGGCTCCACTTCTTCCAACACAGATCTTTTGTTCTTTTGGCAGCCCATGGTACTTTCAATATTCTCCTCTCATACCAGAACTCAAAAGCATCAATTCTTCTACAGTCTTCCTTATTCACTGTCCAGCTTTCGCATGCATATGAGGTGATTGAAAATACCATGGCTTGGGTCAGGTGCACCTTAGTCTTCAAGCTGGCATCTCTGCTCTTCAACACTTTAAAGAGGTCTTGTGCAACAAATTTGTCCAATGCAATACGTCATTTGATTTCCTGCCTGCTGCTTCCATGAGCGTTGATGGTTGAGCCAAGTAAAATGAAGTCTTTGACAAAATGAGTCTTCCTCCAATCCTGATTGCCATGTTTTTCTTCATATAACCCATCTTCTCAGATTATTTGCTCAGCATACAGATTGAATAAGTATGGTGAAAGAATACAACCCTGGTGTACACCTTTTCTAATTTTAAACCATTCAGTGTTCCCTTGTTCTATTCGAACAACTGCCTCTTGGTCTATGTACAGGTTCCTCATGAGCACAATTAAGTGTTCTGGAATACTCAGACTTCGCAGTGTTGTCCATAGCTTGTCATGATCCACACAATCAAAAGCTTTTGTGTGGCCAATAAAGCAGAGGTAAACATCTTTCTGGTATTCTCTGCTTTCAGCTAAGATCCATCTGATGTCAGCAATGATATCCTTCATTCCATGTTCTTTTCTGAATCCAATTTGGACCTCTGGAAGTTCTCTGTCAGTGGATGGTTGCAGCCATTTTTGGATTACCTTTAGTAAAACTTTACTCTCCTGGGGTATCAAAGATATTGTCCAGATGATTTCTACATTCCATTGCATCACCTCTTTTTGGAATGGGCATGAATATGGATCTCTTCCAGTTAGTTGGCCAGATAGTTGCCTTCCAAATTTCTTGGCATGAACAAGTGAATGCCTCCAGTGCTGCCTCACTTTGTTGAAAGATTTCAATATGAATTCCATCAATTCCCGGTGCCTTGTTCTTTGCCAATTCTTTTAATGTACCTTGGACTTCTCTCTTCAGGATCACTGACTCTTGATCATATGCTACCTCTTGAAATGGTTGAAGATCGACCATTTCTTTTTGGTACGGTGACTCTGTGTATTCCTTCCATCTTCTTTTGATGCTTTCTGCATTGTTCAATAATTTGCCCACCGAATCCTTCAACAGAAGTCGAGTTCTGAATTTTTTCTTTAGTTTCCTCAGTCTGAGAAATGCTGAGTGTGTTCTTCCCTTTTGGTTTTCTAGCTCCAGGTCGTTGCATGTTTTGTTATAATATTTGACTTTGTCTTCTCCAGCCAATCTTTGAACTTTTCTGTTCACCTCTTGGACCTCCTCATTTCTTCCATCTGGAGAGCAAGTTTCAGTGTCTCTTCTGACATCCATTTTTCTCTTTTCCTTTTTTCTTGTCTCCTTAGTGCCCTTTTGCTTTCTTCCTGCATTGTGTTCTTTATGTCATCCCACAATTCTTCAGTCCGTATAATAGCTTTGAAATTCATCCATATTGTTGAGTGCCTTTCGTTTACTGCTGAGGAAACTGGGACCAACTCCATGACACACAACCACTACAGCTTCTTTAGCCATTTTACCGATTGAGGGACATTTCGGTTGTTTCTAATGTTTGGCTGTTACAAATAAAACTTCTTTAAATATGCATGTACAGGATTTTGTGGGAATGTAGGTTTTCATTTCTCTGGGGTAAATACTCAGGAGTAGGACTGAAGGGTACATTTAACATCGGAAGATACTGTCAAACTCTTTCCTATGTGGCAACACCATTGGCTAGCCCAACAGTGTTGGAGACTTTCTGCTGCTCTACATTCTTGCTAGTTACTTGATATTGCCAAAGATTTGTAAAGTATTCTTTTACTACTCTAAGGAGCTCTGGTAGCACAGCGGTTATGAATCAGGCTGCTAATCCCACGGTCAGCAGTTCAAAACTACCAGCGGTTCCGTGGGAGAAAGATGAGGCTTTCTGCTCCCATAAGGGCGTACAGCCTCGGAAATCCTAGGCAGGGTTGCTGTGAGTCGGAACCAACTCCACGGCACACAACAACAGCAACAACAACAATAGGTATAGGAGAAAGATATACAGCCTCGGAAACCCTATACAGGGCAGAGGTGAGACGGAACCAAATCCAGGACACACCACAACACTACCATGGTATATAGTGGCAGCTCACAGTGGCTTTAATTTGCATCCCAGTGACTAGTGATGTTGAGCATCTTTTCTTTTGTCGTTTGCCATCTGTATATCTTCTTTGGTGAAAAATCTCTTCAAATCTTTTGCCCATTAAAAAAAATTGGGTTGTTTGTTTCTTATTGTTGAGCTTTGAGAGTATTTGATATATTTTGTATAAAAGTCCCTTCCTTGCCATTTATGATGTATTTTCTCCCAGGTATGCTTTGTCTTTTTGGGCTCTGTTGTAACAGTGTCTTTTGCAAAGCAAAAGCTATTAGTTTTGATTAAGTCTAATTTATCTTTCTTTTTTTCTCGTATAGATTATATGTTCGGTCTTTTCAGAATCCTTCTCCTAATCACAGGTCTTGATGATTTTCTCCTGTGCTCTCCTATAAAGGTTTTCAGTTTCGTGATTTTACATTTGCGCTAACCTTTGTATAAGAGGTCAGGTTTTAGGTCAAGGTCCGTTGTGTGTATATGGAAGGACAATCGTCCTTCTCCGAGACTGGTATATTCTCCTGTCCATGGGCATGATGCTAAAGAAATCTTATGCAGATGAAAAAATACGAATGCTATCTTTTATGAATAGACCCAGTTATGTGTACTTTGGTGAATCGTACACCCAGCCTTTCTTAGACTTACCTTCTCTACATACCAGCAGGGCCCCAATGAGGCCTGAATTCAGGTCTTTCACTGGGTCCACATGAGAGAGATATGAGTAGGTGAGACATGGTGGATCCGAGGCCATTGGACCATTCTCTTTCAGGACCTGCCAAATGTAGGTATGGCTCCCACCAGGAGTGACCTGATCATCTTCTTTCTCCTTTTGGCTGCTCTTATCATCATACTCAGCTCCTAAAGCAAGAAGAATAAACTTGTCCTTCCTATACCTGTTGAACACTCGAGGAAACATATAACGCATATTTTCAACAATAGATACAACATAAGTAATGAGAACTAGCTTCTTGCTGAGATCTCCAGATTCTGTTGGCCAATTACATCATTTGCATTCTCACCTCATTTTACTAATTCAGGGTCAACTCAACTCCAAAAATATATCTTGAATGTGTACTTTGTCCCAGACATTTTGATAGGCACTTGTTAGGGTCAGGGAGGGATAATACATAGAGATTTTTTTCAAAGATTAACTGGAATCTTCCCTAGAGGACGAATATTCTGGTGGAAGACATAAAACATATAAAAGGATAATACAGTATAGAAACATCCATTCAACAAAATATTTACTGAGTCCTTACTCTTTCTAAGCTCAGTTACAAACTGGAGATATGAAGATCTACAAAATAGAAGTCTACCATAATGCTGGAGACCCTTGGTGATGCAAACGGCTCACCTTGGGAGAAAGACCTGGTGATCTCCTGCTGAAACATCAGCCACTGAACACCTCATGGAGCACAGCTCTGCCGTGACACACTTGGAACCACCATGAGTAAGAGTTGGCTCAATGGCAAGGATTCTAAGAAGCCCTGACTCTTTTCAGTGGGGAGCACTACTGAAGGTCAACATCCGGGCACTGTGTGTGCTCGGTGCTAATGAAACAGCACCGCTTACAGTCACATTGCGGTGGACAGATGTAGCAAAGATTGAAAGGCAATGACCAGAATAGCTACACTTCTACTCTTCCCAGTTGCCCAGATGGATAATGCTGCCTGGGGCTCCAAGCCAGCCCACGGCATACAGGGAGCTCTTCTTATAGTACCTGAGACAAGGCCTCTCCAACAGGGCAGTGCAGAAAAGCAGTGCTTTTCTCATGGATTCTAGAACATTTATCTCCCCATACTGATTTTCTGGAAACTTTTGTGTCTCCTTATTGTTATTGGATAGAGTATGTTGGTCACCATTTTCTCTGCCAATATTTGGAAAGTGTCAACAATGTGGTACTCCATTGATATGTGCCTCTGTGACTTACAACTAAGCTAAGTCTCTCATGATTTGCCCTGGTTCTCTGATTTCATACCTAGATGTTCAGAGAAAAACCATTTGCCTCACCGTTGTTCGATTCCTGCAAAGTAACTATGCAAGTAGAAAAAGTGTAAACCTCACTGATGACCACCAGATTTTTTGGTTTACAGCTTATGGTCACTAATATGTGCGTCATACAATGTTGCTGATGTTATCGCTCCCAGATGACTTACTTTCTGTGTGTGTCATGGTAGAGCTGTGCTCCATGTGCTTTTCAATGGCTAACATATCTGACTGATGTTAGAACTGTTGGGAGCAGCTGAACCTAAGGTCTCAGATTTGGGGGCAGTTTAACCAAAGGATTGCGACTAAACAGTTGTGGTCCAGAAAATCGGGCTGCTCCCAAGTCAGGCTGCCCCCTGAGGAACTTGCAAAGCCTGCCTCAGGGAGCGAGGAATTTACAAAGTCTTTCCTTGTACTCAGCCATGGCCTTCAGTTTAGTTTGAAAAATATCTCTCTACCCTATCTCTGTTTCCCTAGCAACTACATTCTTCTGATTAAGTCCCACTTACTGCTGGCATCTAAGGAGCTCTGGTAGCGTAGTGGTTACGAATCAGGCTGCTAACTTCATGGTCAACAGTTTGAAACTACCAGCTGTTCTACGGAAGAAAGATGAGGCTTTCTGCTCCCGTAAAGATTTACAACCTCAGAAACCCTATATAGGGTCACTATGAGTCAGAACCGACTCCAGGCACATAACAACAACAACTGCTTGCATCTATACACCAAAAGTTTTTGCAATCTTTTCCCTGCCCCCAGCTCTCTCCTTTGATTTGTGTGTATAATAAACGAGCTGAATGTAGGACGCTGTCACAGTATCTCCATCAGAGTGCTGTGTCCCACCTGGTCCCAACTAGTTTATTCTCATTTTGTGTCTTGTGTCTTCCTTTTTTTCTAATCCTCTGTTACTCCCAGTGTTGTTGTTGTTGTTGTTAAGTACTGTGGATTCAGTTCTGACTCATAGTGACCCTGCACAGGGTTTCCAAGGCTGTAAATTTTTATGGGAGCAGAATGCCTCATCTTTCTCTTGCAGAACTGCTGGTAGTTTCAAAGTGCTGACCTTGAGGTTGGCAGCCTGACATGTAACCACTACACTACCAGAGTCCCTACTTGGTTTTAATTTCTCCATGTGGGTCGCTGAGTATAGCCACTTGTCGGACACAGCAAGAACAAACTTAGGAGTCATTATAACAGACCCCCATTATAAGTTGAGAACTACCTGTATAGGACTAACACACCCTTAAGATTCCTATGAGATCTATAGATCACAAGGAATCTCTGAACTAGTATGATCTTGATTTTGTCAGACATCTGGCCTTCATCCCAAAATTATAGGATTCCCTAAGAGTAGTAAATCCTTTCTCACATGTTTTTAAATCCTAAAGGAGGGAAGTTCTCTAATTGGCTAAGCTTGAGTAAAGTGTCCAATCAACTGTGGCCAAGGAAATGGAATACAAGATCAATCACTGTGGTCAGAAAGTGCAGGCTTTAAGAAAATATCATGTGGCACTGTAGAATAAGTACTGAACTGCTAACAAGAAGCTAACTAAAGGTTAGTGGTTTAAATCCACCAGCCAACCCTTGGAAACCATATACAGGATCGCTAAGAGTCAGAACTGATTTGACAGCACTTAACAACCACAACAGTAAAGGAATGAAGGGTGGAAACGATGTGTAACTCTAGGCAGAAAAAGTGACTGATAACTGTTCCACCTCGGTTCTTGAATCTGTTATAGGCTATATACCATCCAGTATAGGCCAGATGGCATATTAACATGCTAAGACTACAACAATAAACAAGAGATCGTCAGACGTCTAGTAACTCTGAGACACAGGCTTCATGTTCACACAGGTCCTCAAAAGGTTTGAAGGAAGTTTGCAAATTCTAATAATGAAAGCAAATGGCTTTAGTGCGGGCTGATAAGATTATTTGGGGTATAGAAGTTTGGAGATCGGTTTTAGTGCATTCTCTTCTCTTATTGGCATGCCCACAGAGGATGGTTGGAATCAGTGAGCAGTCTAGCTGAGTTTGCTTTAGTCTATGTCTTTCTCTCGTTACTGCCTCTCCTGACTTTCGATGCTTTGGTTTTCTTTCTATGAAGCTATAGATAGAGGAGCCATTTTTGCTGCATTCCTTTGTTGTTGTTAAATGCTCGAATCAGCTCTGTAGCATAGTGGCCCTGTATAGGGCTTCCAATGAGTGGCTGATGGGTTTGAACCACCAACCTTGTGGTTACCAGTCTAGTCCTATGTCGCCACACTGGGATTCCTTACAACATTCTAGGTTGCCCATATTAATTTCCAGACCATGTTCACTTGTATCAAAAAGGTCTGTGAGCCACATGAAGCAGAGATCATTGAAAATCTAGGGCAATCTTTTGATAGAAGCGGGCAGCTATGGCTGTCTCAAATCAAGATGTCCTCAGATTTGGTTCTGGAGGCATGTGATACCTATAGTTCTGTATATCTGGCATGAGTCTCCTTTTCCCTGTCTTCTAATAACTAAGGCCCTCTTTTTCTGTGTGGAATTCCAGATGGATTGGGTGGGAATGGTCTCCCCTTTCCGTTTCCAACTCTGCCCTGTAAGCAAGCTACCGTTGAGAAGTGTCGACAAAGAGTCTCTCCCCACTGCCCTGATCACTGTTCAAAGGAAGAACTGGGACTATCTTGAGTTTCCCGTGGCTATCTTTGCCAGTATGCTGGAAAAGCCTAAGGAACAATGAAACCAAAAGGAAGGAAAGCAGAAATGATAGGGTGAGAAAAAGACACCGGTGCTGAGGGAACCATTTGAATCCTTGGATCCAGTCATACAGAAAGCTTACACACACAACATTCAAAATTATTCATATGAATCCTTGTACCGTAACATGTCTACAAGTGGTTCAGAGCACAAGTTCTAGAACTACATGGGCCTAGATTTGAATCCTGACTCTAAGCACTCACTAACTTGTACTCAATATTCTCTTCAATATTATTATCATCAGTATGAGCTTTTAGTAAGTTTGTATATAAGAAAATGGCTACAATTCCACATTTGCCAACATCCCCCAGCACGCACATCTGACTCTTATCTCCCCAGGGTGATAAGACAATAGTAAGAGGCCATTTGACTCACCCTCCGAAGCTTTCCAATAGGATATGCCAATGGCGTGAAGACTGATGGGATGAGAAGCCATGTTCTTCAGTGTAATGATGACTGTGTCATGAACCTCAGCCCGGATGGTAGGACCCAGCAGTCCTGCAACAATGAGAAGCCCCTAAAGGTGATTTGGAGAGTGGCATTCTATCTAGGAAATCTGCTATTACAACAGTGAGCGTCCAAGTCATAGTAGGGAAGCATATCTCTCCGATTACTGATCAAAAGCAGTGTATACTTGAAGCCAGCATCAGCTCAGCCTCATAGTTGCTCGGAGGAAAGTTTTCTGGTCATTCACCCAATGTATCCATTCATTCAACAAATATTTGAGTTCCTGCTATCTTGTAGAAACTGTCCTAAATACCGGAGAGACATGGTTGTTATAGATTGAATTGTGCCACCCCAAAATATATCTATGCCTGTGGCTATAGTCCCATTTGGAAACGAGTTGTCTTTGTATGTTAATGAGACAGGATTAGTGGAAGAGTCTGTCCTGTGCAGAGGTGGGGGAAGAGAGAGGCCAAGCCAACGAAGATGGCCAAGGGACAGACCCCAGAAGAGACCAGGACCTTCTCCTAGAGTCCACACATTGAATTCAGATGTCTAGTCTCCTAAACTATGAGAGAGTAAATTCATTTGTTAAAGCAGCCCATTTGTGATATTTCTGTTATATATCAACACTAGAGAACTAAAACAGTAACCAACAAGGCAGATTATGGAGATCAGGTTCTGGAGACATTATTCAAGTAAACAAAAAAGAAAGAAAATGTGATCGTTAGAGCCGCTGTACAAATGGTGGTGTGCTAGAAAATGATGAGGTAGAAGTAGGGGAGACTTTAAATCTAGTGATTAGAAAGGGTGCCTTGAAGGAGGTAGCATTTGTACAGACATGTGACTAAAGACAAGAGAGCAAGACTTGCAAAAATCTAGTGGGAGAGCATTCAAGGCAGATGAAACCAAAGGAAAAGTCCTTAGACAGGAACAAGCCTGGCATATGTTAGTGACAGTTTGTGGCGGAAGTCAAGTGGCCAGGGGAAAAATAGAAAATCAGATGCTTACAGGTAGGCAAGAAATACACTACATAGGAACTCATAGGCCCCAAAAGTGTGGATGAATTTGGATTTTACAAGAAGTAAACAAGTTGGAACTTGTTTTGGAGAAAGAGTGGAAAGGATTTGCTGATAGATTGATTATTGGAAATTGGAAAAAAAGAGAGAGAAGGACGTGTCAAAGATGAACTCCCGTGCTTTGGGCTTGTTCAGCTGAATACATATTCATGACATTGACGATGACAAAGACAACAAGAAGAAAATTAAGCTGCTTATTTTCTGTGCATAGTTTCTTGAATGAACTGGATTCAGTGAGCTGGAAACATGAATCGCTTTCTTATACTTGACCTAATCCCAGATATAGCCTAGTCACTTTCAGGTATTAATATCATTTGAAAATACTAACAAACAAATCCAGTCTAGTCTAATGTAACATTTTTAATAATTCCCTCCTTCCTACAACTAAGTTCTGCCAGCCTCGGAAAGCTATGATATAATAGGGTGAGGTGTTCCTCACCCAGATCATGGTATTTTCATGTGGAACTCTAGGTTAAATAAGTACTGGACTGTTAACTACAGGGTCAGTAGTTCAAACTCACCATCCACTCCTCAGAAGCCCTATACAGAGTCACTAGAGTCAGAAGTGATACGAAGGCACTTAACAATAAACAAACATATGCATGCTCAAACTGGACAATGAATACAAAGGACCAAAGACGAGTTGATGCCTCTGAATTATGATGTTGGTGGCTAGTACTAATTATGTAAATGAACAAGTCTATCTTGGAAATACAGCCAGAACGTTCCTTAGAAGGAAGGGTGGTAGAGTTCCTGTCACATATTTTGGACATGTTATCCGGAGGGACCAGTCCCTGGAGAAGGACCTCATGATGGATGGAAGGTAGAGAAAAAAAGGAGGATACTCAACAAGATGAGCAGCTGCAAGAATAGGTTACAAACTAACAACACTGCTAAGGATGGCACAGGACTGGGCAGTGTGTTGTTTTGTGTTGTTTTGTTTTGTTTTGTTTTGTTAGACATAAGGGCCACTGTGAGTCTGGACCAATCCAACAGCACTTAACAGCAATACAATTTAAGGTTCCATTTCTCCAACTAATCTCTGTAGGAAAAGGTTTGGTTGACAACTTCAGTGTTTTTCCATCTTCTAGTCCTGGTGCTCCTACCCTACTCTCCTTTCTGTCTCCAGACCCTTAAGTTTGGGACAAGTAGTCAGTGGAGGGAAAAGGGCATATGGGGATCAGGTCTTTGTTGAAAACAGCAGTGATAATGTAGCATTGGTATACATGTTACATTTGTGTGTGGTACCTGTCAAAATTCGGATTATTTCTTTCATAGTGGGTTTTATACGTTCTTTGGAGATCGCTGCCCCCTCCCCCTGAAATACGAGGATACCCACTCTACCTCTTCAGTTCGTCGCTTGTCACTCCATTCTATTTCTGGAAGTACAAACCATATCAGCCATGGAAGGAAGCCTTCTCCAATAGGGTTTCCTGAAGACCAGTCCTGTTCCCTTCCTTGCCTAACATCTAACAGTGGAAGGGCTGTCCTGGTGTGATGCTGTAGGATAAGCGCAGAACTGCGAGGTCAGTTTGAACCAGAAGGTCAGCAGTTCAAACTCACCAGTCGCTCCTCAGAAACCCTAAACTGGGTTGCTACGAGTAGCGACTCAATGGCACTGAACGCTAGCAACATAGCCCAATCTTCTTGCTATGCAACCAGGGAAAGTCCTACCCATCCTAGAGATTGAATTTTTTCATGACAAACACCAGAAAAACAATTCAATGTTTTCCAAGCTCCAAAGGTCTTTTGAATGGATCTATTGAAGCCTCTTTCATTACATTTTGACATGAAGCAGACGCCTCCCTCCACCCACTGTGTAGGGGACATATAAAGCGCCTTCTTTCATATATAAGCTAAAGATGAATGATGGACTAAGGGTTGCAGAACCACTTGGGTTATTGTCAGTGTCGCTGAGTCAGTTACAACTCATAGCAACCCTCTATTTCAGAGGAGAGACTGGTGGATGGAAGCATCTAAACCACTGAGCCTGTGGTTGAAACTGCCCTTGCTATAGCGGGAGCTAACTGAAGATAGGAAATGCTCCATTTTAGTATCCTGCTATGTGCCTGGGGTAGCGCTGTGGGCTAATGCGTCAGACTGCAAAGCCGTTTGAACTGCAACTTTGGTGGTTCAAGCTCACCAGCTGCTCCTTGGAAACCTTATACAGGGTCGCTATGGGTTCGAATAGACTCGACGGCACTTAACAACAACATGTGCCTATTTCAGGAACCCTGGTAGCACAGTGGCTTTTGAACAGTATGAATCTACCAGGCTCTCAGCGGGACAAAGATGAGGTTTTCTGCTCCGTAAAAACATACAGCCTCTGAAACCCTATCAAGGTCGCTGTTGAGTCACAGCCGACTCCACGCCACATACATTTGAGTGTTATTAGCATATGTTGTTATTGTTGTTGTTAAGTGCCATTGAGTCTTTCCCGACCCTTAGTGACCCTGTATGGGGTTTCCGAGGAGAAGCTGGTGAGCTTGAACCACCGACCTTGTGGTTCAAACCGACTTTGCAGTCCAGTGCATTAGCCTACAGTGCCACCCCAGGACTCCAGGAACAAGGGATAGAGGCACAAAAACATCTAGAGGACAAACAGAAGGGGAAAGTCCAACAAAAAAGATGGAAAAGTCTAGCTAGTGTGGTGGTGGTGGTGATGTGCTGTGGAGTCGGTTCCGACCCATAGCGACCCTGCATAGGGTTTCTGAGGCTGTAAATCTTTACGGGAGCAGAAAGCCTCATCTTTCTCCCACAGAACAGCTGGTACTTTCGAACTGCTGACCTTGTGGTTCGCAGCCCGATTCGTAACCACTACACTACCAGAGCTCCTAGCTAGTGTAAAGGAATTAAACAAGAAGTCTCCTCTCTTATTTCCCTGAGAGGTGACAAAGAGGCTTGGTCAAAATCTTTGGCAGCTGCCTTCTCTAATGACACCCTAAGATTGGAGAATATTTGCTCAAAGGTAAGATACCCAATTTTATGAATAAACGTCCTTACCCATCCAGGATGGTCTGGGCTTGGTGATGTGGAAAAGGTGATCTGTGAACTCTACAAACACAGTCTTCCTGAACAGGGCTGAAGTGTTGAATGGAGAAGGTCTTGCCACTCTAGGAAGCAATCTGTGTAAAGAGAGGAAAAACATAGTCATCTGGGTGGACCCTTTTTAACCCACTCTCCTTGGCTGTCTCAGGGTCCTGGGGCTGCCATATCAAACTACCACAAGTGTGTAGCTTTACAGAAACCACATTGTATTGTCTCACTGTTCTGGTGATTGGATGTCAGAAGCAGTGTGTTTGTGATGATTCTTCCTCGCTTCCAATGGCATGTCTTTGCTGCTTGTCCCCTGATTAGTGTCTCTCTTTCTGTACCTGGTCTCCCCTTTTATAAAAGTCCACTCAGAGTGGACAGGTATAGGGAGTAGGACTTCACTACAGCTTGTTGGAGAACACCATTGAATCCATGACAGATCCCGAACATCTTTTAACCAGAATACTGTTTTCACAAGTTGGCTGGTAGTTTCAGTGCCAAATGATAAAGGGCAATCATAATGAAACCAAATGCAATAACTACAGCACTCTTCTATGTCGTTTATAAGATACACTATCACTTTCATCGTATAAGGACCTCTTCTTCAAATGTTGTCAGTACGTACCTAAAATTAGGAAGACTAGTAAGACCACTGGGAAAATGACCTTTCAATGAGGATCATGCATATTAAGAAATTATATAAATGTTCCTGAAACATTTTTCTCGTGTCCAAACCTTTTTAGGTGAACAGTAGTTTCCTACCTGACAAAGTTAGGCCAGCGTTCTTATCTACAAATTAAATACGAGGCTCAGTCACAAAATACTGCTCCAAAGCTATAGAACCCTGTATGAAACAAAAATGCGAAACTGTGACGCTATTGTTTCTTGAACAGAGCCTCCATCTAGATCTAGACACTTTGGAGAAAGCTGTTCCCATCTCTCTATCCCTTCCTCCAAAGAATTCTACAGTCTGATTAACATCACATCAAAATGGCATTTTGTGTTTCCTGTTGTTGTTGTTGTTAAGTGCCATCGAGTCGGTTCCGACCCATAGCGACCCTGTACAGGGTTTCCGAGGGTGTAAATCTTTACGGGAGT